TCTCTTTCCCCATTCGCAGAGAGAGGAGAACCCTAAACCCTTTGGAGCCCTGCCAGCAGCACCAAAAGAATCTTTTGACTATTTTCCCAGGGAATTCCTGCCTTAAATGTCAGCAGAGTACAACTCCCCAGCCAAAGCAGAGTCTGCCTGGATCTGAATCAAGGAAAATGTCCCTGCTATATCAAACGGGAAAACCTGCATCCACAGGGCATGGGGACAGGGGCAGAGGGTTAGTGAAAGGATTTGGGAAACCATTGGAAACATTTTCTCAGATTCACCTCACTGAAGAATGGGAAGCTAAGTCGAACATTTTGGTTCCTTGCTGTTTCTTGTTATTTTTATTTTACTTTTTGGATGGTGACCTATATTTCTAGAAACTACTCTGAATTCTAACAAAAAGACAACAACCCTTTGAAAAGGAAACAAAGCTCCATTAAAGCCCTTTGTTACGGTGGTGGTGGTAGTAGTGGTGGGTGCCCCTGCTGTTGTTATTGTTGTGTTTATTTGTTTGTTTTTAATGAACATACTGATATATAAGTGCTCTGGGGGGAATTCATGATGCTGTGATTTGTGAAAAGCAAAATAAGATTTATGAGTTGCAATTGAATCTGCCCCTACCAGCCTGGAGACACTTCCCGTCTGGCACTGAGGCACTGCTGGCACTTTTAGTGCTTTTGTTTTAGTCTCCAATCTCTGAACACATGAAGAAGTATTAAAAGTTCTGAGGGCAAGGCTGGGAGACAGTCCACAAATCCCAAAGACACATGTCAGCACGAAAGGAAAACGGTATGGTGTAAGTAGTTTAAAAATTCAGAAGCGAAGTGTGTCAATCAGCTAGTTGTTGTTAAGTAATCTTGCAATTTTTGTTTACCCTTCTTTCATTGTCCTCGTGTTACTGGCTACAACTTCACAAGGCTATTCAACAAAAAACTCACAAGGTTACCTAACATAAACGGCTGATTTAAAATTAGCGTGCCACGTTACTATCCTCTCACCAAAGATCAAAGAACTACACACACAACGAGAAAGTCCAGAAGATTTAGTCAACAAATTGTCATTCCATTAAATGAATTTGGTCCTTCTAAGGTCATCGATGGGAAAAAATTTTTTAGATTCTAAATCTCAATTAGCTTTAGGCCCAACCTAGTTCAAAACAGATCAACTTAGAAGCCAAGGTTCCTCATCTCATCTTGCCCTGCATCTCACCTCATCTCACCACGAGCACATGATAGCTGCTTTCTTCCATCATCATGTTCTGCAGGCAGCTGCACAAGCAATTCTATTGGAAATTTCTGTCCCCAGTCTGAAGAAAAGCCACGCAAGCAGCCATTTATTGCACAGGGCTGAAAGTGAGGCAGGAAGGTCAAAAATAAATACCATCTCAAATCTAAAAAGGATAGTAAGTAATACCTAATAAGAAAAACTACCTCCAGTAGGTGAAGGGTTAATCTCTGGTCAATTTTAAGCCACTCTGCTGAGAATACTAATAAGTGTATGAGTTGGTGCCAATTAGGGTGGACCTTCCCTTGATGGGAACAGCTATTCCTTAGGAACTGGGCTGTCAACACATTCTACCAGAGCAGTGATCAGCCAGCCAGAAGAAAGGGAAAGGGTCTGAGAAACTGTGGTAACCAAGTTTTGCTGGCACTTTGTAAAATGGTGACGGGAACTTCCAGGGCTATGGAGTGAATGCTAATGAGCCTAGGGCAACTTGCAAAAAGTCGACCTGAAAAAGATCCCCCTAATGACCTGCAGCCCTAGGGAGCACCACGCTTTGCGGGTTCCCCGTGGATACGACCACAGGTTTCATTCACCAGGAGGAACCTAAACACTGCAGCTTTGTTCCTTGGATTCACGGGCCTCACAAACACTTCTGACTCAATGTTCTTAGGGTCAGAGCAAGTACCTGTAGCATATCTGCCTAAAAAATCAAAGTTTTCAAATTCTTTAAAAAACATTTTGCACCTTTTTAAAAATCTTATTTAAAAATCTGAATAATAAACAGCTTAAAGAATCGACGTGAATGTTTTGTGTTTTTTTGTGTATGTGGATTCACATAAATTCCCCTTTTTCTTCTGATCAGAATGTATTATTTCAGGGAGCATATATTAAGAAGGCTAAAACCCCTGGAGGACAATCATTGGTGTGCAACCACATTCTTAAGGATGTAAATTTAATCTTGTTAACTGAGAATGCTTGAAACAGTAATAAAGTGCTCTTCTGAAATTCACACTCAAAACTTTACTTAATTCCTCTTTCTAATGAGAGCTTTTCACTCATTCCCAAGTCTCAGGTAACCAAATGAGACAAGCAAACAAAAAATTAAAACTATGATGTGAAAGTATAACAGCTTTTACACTTCTCCCTTCTGTATGTCTTCCTTGTCACACTTCATTCTGAAAAGTACCCTGAGCTGAAATGAGATGGCAGGTGGAGAAGCAGGGCAGAGATGGAGAAGCTCCCATAGGAAGATGTGAGTTATCACAGTTCTAATCGTTGGGTTGAGCATTGACAGATGTTCATTGTATTATTAAAACATAATTAATTAACTATTATACAATAAAAGAGCCGTCTATGTGCCAGTGACAACAAAATATCATAAACCAAGGATTATGATTATTCTAATTATAGGCACCTAAGGTCCATTTAAAGAAAAACAATTGAGATGGCAATGCAGGCAGCTAATTCTCAGACCTACCAGAGTTCACTAAGCTCCTCAGTAGGGGGGAGTGCCTTCATGGACACGCAACCTGAGTCCTTGCACAGGGCCACACTTAAAAGGACCCCACACTCTGTGTTAATGTCCTGCTGCTGCAATCTTGAAATTCTTAATTTTTAAACAAGGTCTCCTGCATTCATTTTGCACTGGATCCCACAAATGATGTTGTCAGTCCTGTCCCTATCTTTTTAGATATCAAATTTACCTACAGTTCCCAATAATTTTGTCCCCACTCAATCTCTATATATTTTTTTTAATTTACTACTTCTTACCCAACAATTGTTATTAACAGCCAGGCAAGCCACCTGGAGTAATCTTATTTCCTATTTTTCCTATTTTTTCTATTTTCTATTTCCTATTTTTCCTATTATCCAAATCAGTGCTATCCAGGTTACAAATAGACCTGCAGTTATCTATTGTGCTTAAAATGTTGCTTTTCAGATCAAAAACTTCAAATAAAAGCCATGGGCTACTTCCACTCAAAAACGAATGCAGTGCAGCTGCTCAATTAACCTCAACTCAATTGCTTGATAATGTAAACCCGTGTTCTCATAGTTGCCCAATTTCAACTGTAACACATTACCAAACAAGACAAAGTCTCACCAGTGCTTTGTGGTAGGAAGAACTCTGGTAAAGATTTGGGGAAATCTTCTTTTTCAAAGATTACCAGCTAAAGAAACATAACATAATGTTTGAGTTTCTGAAATGCTGTGTGTCTATAGTGATCAGGTGGAGAAAAGTTATTTCGAGTTCAAATATAACTTAGTGATTGCCACATGGTGCAGAATCTTTCCACCCCTAGACTCCAAAAACCCAATCAGACAAGTGGCTGTAATCTGACTCCCAGCTCACTGAATACTGCAGGCAGGCAATGAGAGCTGCACTCTGGCCAGGGAAGGCATGAGTGACAGACCCGCAGCAAGGAGGTGGGGGTAAGTCCTTTTTTGCCTTAAGGAAACGACGCTCAAGGCCAAAAGATGAAACTCTTTTATTACAGATATTTGTGCCTTCTCCGGCAGAATCTAGAAGAAAACCATAGGGCAGGTGGGTGGTTCTTTAGATACAGGTACTGGGCATGTTCATAAGAGAGGCATAGAGAAGGTAAAAGAAAAGGGATGCTTTGTAGCAAAATTCTCCATATATTTGAGACCGGTGAAAGCACAGGACAATGACGCTATGGAGATAAATCTATCTGTGGTATTTTTTCATCAGAAAAATTACTCACTCAGGGGCTCAGCTGTCCAGAAGTGAATCGGGCTGGGTGTTCAGCTAGAAAGAAATGTGTTTGGTTCAGTACAATCTGGGCTCATCAACAAACCCCCTTTGTTCCGGGGCAAAAGAAGCAAAACAAATGGTGCTGATCCATTTTCAGTGAGTGTGAACATGGAAAGGATCCTTGATGATAATGGCAGGGGTCTATGAGAGCTGCTAGGGTGAGCCTTTGTAAGGCGAAAGGTATGTATAAGGTGCTAGAGAACTTTGGGGTTCGCCGCCCACTGAAGCTGGTCGCTCTGCCCTGGAAGGAGATCAGATTATTTGGGCTTTCAAAAAAAGCTAAATGCACTCTTAAGGAGTATATTTATCTGTTTGGGGCTTTTTAAATTTCTCTGGCTGATGATAATTTGAAGCTGAAAGAGCAACTGGATTACTTAAATTAGGTCTCTGGAGAGATAGACATATGCATGGGAAAGTAAGCAGGGAGAGAGAACTCAGGGAACTGGGGGAAGTGAGGGAAGAAGGGGTGCAGCAGGAAGGCGGCCTTTTCCCAGGGCCCGCCTCTCCCGGTGATCTGTGCTGCAGAAAAGGGACCTGTGCTTCCTGCCCACCCGGCGCTTTGGCCGCTTCTTTTTTCCCATTAAATCCGGCCACAGACGACCAGCACCTGTGATAGCGCCTTGCCCCCTTGCCATCCCGGCTATAGCGGTGGGCTGCTGGTGAGTTCAGAATCCACCCTGATAACTTCTTTTTCAGTTTGTGAGTTGAGTTTCTTTCCTTTTGGGACATTTTTAATGTCTCTCCCAGGGCACCCTCCCTGCCCCATTCCAAGTGCTGTTTTTCTCTCTTTATTTTCTCTTCCTCTGGGGAATGTGATGTCATTGTCCTCCCAGCTGGGGTTTTTCATAATTACATGATTCACTTAGAGGCGTTCATTTGGGCAGCAGACACTTGGGACAGTGCTGGCTGTTCCCCTTCTGGAGCCACCTGGGCTTGGGCAGAAAATGAGTTTCTCGTTCCAACTCTGAAGCAAAGCCCCATATCGAACCAGAGGCTGAGTAGAGATCCTCAAGGTCAAGGGAGAGTTCTCCTAGCCCTTTTTGGCAGAGCATTTCCCCACTGCTCATCCAGAACCCAGTTCCTGGGGACAGTGAATAATGGGGGGACAGCGAATAATGGGTCATTCAGTAATATATCAAGGGGAAGGCTGCAATAACTCTAATCTGTTAAAATACTTGGCTTTTTTGCCTAACTCTTTTTATAGTCCTCTGTGATTAGAGTCTCTGCTAAATGCTCTCCATACTCCTTCACGCTTCGTGCTATTCACAGGCAAAGGATAAGGGCAAATGTCTTGAATAATGGGGTAAGTGGGTAAAAGTCAGTTCTTTCCAGAATGAGCAGCTGGCATTCATATCCTCAAACCCTATCCCTTTCTCAACTCCAAAGATCTTCAGGCAGTAAGAGGAAAATAGATTGGAGGAAGAAAGTGTCTTCACTCTCAAAGGGAGCCCTTCTGCTCCTCATCCTCCCTCACTCCCTTCCCGGCACTAAGCCTCACCCCGCCCCCAAACACACACAAGCTCCTCCACGTAGAAACATGCCTGTCTTCTAGGGCCAAGCTGAAGTAAGAGAAAGCCACCACGAAGAAACTAGAGAACTACAGTTGGAGGCTTCTACTTCGAGGACCACAGTTCCCTTGCCACACCCCCTTTGCACACTTGCCTTCCGCAGGTCTGCCTCGTTCGCTGTCAGCTGCGCTTGGCTGCCCCTGAAGGGCGGGCAGGGTGCCTGGGTCTCTGCTTGCATGCGCTGGGCCTCCAAGATCTCTTTGGGAGTTTATCTGAGGGGTAACGACAGGGATTGAGAGAGGAACAGGCAGGAGGAGGGACTGTCCCCTAACACTGCAGAAGCAACGCGGAGACCAGGGGCGGGCGGGAGCGGGGTGGGGGGCGCAGATCCGGGCTGACCGGCCTCCGTTTGTCCACCTGGCCGCCCGCGAGCCTGGAACCTGCCCGAGAGTGGCCACTCTCCCGCCTTTTGAGAGGCGCTCCAGCTTCCCGGGGGCCCGAGGGCGACGGTTCCTAGCGCCGCGCGTCGGGACCGGAGTGGCGCACAGCGTCGCTAGGACTCCTCCCTCTGTCTGAGGAGGGGGAGGGGTGTCCCCGTCCCAGCTCGGGCGCTGCCTGATCCCACCGCCCCTGCCCGTCACCGTGAGCTCACCTCTCCCCAACGAATCTACCTTCTGGAGAGACAAATTTACAGCATTCCTGGCTTCCCAGCAGGTCTCTCTTTAATCTAGAGTCTCTGGGAGACTGGGAGAGAGGGGAGGGAGAATTGGAGCCCTGAAAAGCCATTTTTGAACAATAAAGAACAAAACTGAAGAAAAACCCTCCCTGTCTTATTGCTTTATGTTCAAAATAGAAATGGTATATAAAAAAGTACATTGAAATTTAAAAACTTTTTCCGAGGGAATTAACTGCACGGCAAATATATTCTATTCTTAATTCTTTAAGGAATTTGAATCGACATTTTCCATTCTAGGGATAATTCAGATAAGTTGAATCTTTGAATATTAAATCAAAGAAACTAGAATAACAATCTATTGACTATTAATTAAGAAGACAATCAATTAAAGAGATTTTCCGGTAGCATTCTTTCTTCGTATGCAAATAACCTTTGGGGGGCCGTCACCCACAGTAGGGCAAGATTGCAAGTCTGGTGTCTTCACCTGAACTCATAAACCTTGGTTTGGTAGCTTTTGATGCAGTTTTGTTTTTCTTTTCAGTAAGTGTGGACCATTGTGTAGAAGAGAAAGCATCATGGTGGCCTTCAAAGGGGTCTGGACTCAAGCTTTCTGGAAGGCAGTCACAGCGGAATTTCTGGCTATGCTTATTTTTGTTCTCCTCAGCCTGGGATCCACCATCAACTGGGGTGGAACCGAAAAGCCCTTACCCGTCGACATGGTCCTTATCTCCCTTTGCTTCGGACTCAGCATTGCGACTATGGTGCAGTGCTTCGGCCACATCAGTGGCGGCCACATCAACCCTGCTGTGACGGTGGCCATGGTGTGCACCAGGAAGATTAGCATCGCCAAGTCTGTGTTCTACATCGCAGCCCAGTGTCTGGGCGCCATCATCGGAGCGGGGATTCTCTACCTCGTCACACCTCCCAGTGTGGTGGGGGGCTTAGGGGTCACCACGGTAGCATCTTTAGCTTTTATTTTCAAACTAGGATTCCAGGTTTCTTGCAGACTCTACTCAATGACACCCTGGTGACCTGAGAGACCTTCCTTAAATTGCTAATTTATTCCCAGGGAATTTCTGATGATTCTTGATAAGGGTAAAAAATAATTCTGGCAACATTGACTGTATCTATATGAAATCATTGTTTGCTCTTGAGTGACTTGAATATTACTAAGTCTGCGTGACACAAAAATTGTGTTGGCTTTCTCTCTCTCTCTCTGTCTCTCTCTCTGGCTCTCTCTCTCTCTCTCGCCCATCCCAGTGACTGAATTGACCATATATTTAGCATGAGACATTTTTATTACAATTATTTGTTGGTTCACTAGCAGAAGGAACAACTTGTTTCTTGTCATGTTCATGAGATTTTAAATGATCTACATTAAGAGTCACACTTAAAAAAGTAAATTGGCATTTGATCCTAGTTTGCTTCTTAGCTAGCTGATTAGGAATATCATTTGTTAACTCAGTAGCAGGGCTGATTAAAAAAACCACACACAGTTTAAATTTTTAACTAAAATATATATTAATTAATTTAAACCCAATGAATAGATTTAATCATTGCCTTATAAAATTATAAGACTCTCAAGACACTCTTTTATAAGTTAAATGCAGCAGCAGCCCATTTTGCTTCCTTTGTAGAAAAGGACATTCAACATAAACTCCTACTTGGTAATTGTAGGAGTAATTAACTAACTATCATGGCCCAAAATGAGTGGAAATTTATTTCTTCTTTTTTCGGGGGTGGGGGAGTAGTGCCTCAATTGAGGGTAAAATAGAAAACTCGACCATCAGTTTTTACAGGGATAAAAATATGCCTTTCCCAATGATATGTTATCATAGAAAAGATATTCTTACTTCAACCCAAATGATGTTTTTCTCTTTCTAGGTTCATGGAAATCTTACCGCTGGTCACGGTCTCCTGGTGGAGTTGATAATCACATTTCAGTTGGTGTTTACTATTTTTGCCAGCTGTGATTCTAAACGAACCAATGTCACTGGCTCAATAGCTTTAGCAATTGGATTTTCTGTTGCAATTGGACATTTATTTGCAGTAAGTTTCCAAGTCTGTTTAAATAATTGATCTATTTCATTTATCCTCACTCTAGAGCTGGCCTGGAAATGTGTTTTACAGCTGTAGTTTTTAGTATCCAGCCACATCTGTCCATTTTAGGTGATTATTTTACTAACTTTGTGATGAGAATGCTGATCTGGCTGCTAACATCTTAACAGTTGCACAGTTTCTTGGTTAGTTACCATTGCAAATGGTAGCAAGTTGCAATGAATGGTACCTTTTAGTAGCCCTGTTTCAGTAATGTCTGAAATTGTTTTCTTTTACCCTACAGATCAATTACACTGGTGCCAGCATGAACCCCGCCCGATCTTTTGGACCTGCAGTTATCATGGGAAATTGGGAAAACCACTGGGTAAATATCATGTTGAGGACAATTATGCATGAAGCTTTTTTTTTCCATCATTTTGCTCACTAGTTTCTCTTACTTCCTCCCAACCTTGAGCCCCCACTTTATTACATCTTTCATAAAAACTAAGGAGAGACTAGCACAGATCTGCTGCAAAACATCTCATCTTATATCTGTTTTGGGCCTTCAGTAATAGTTTTTGTTTTTTGTTTTATTTTGTTTATCACTGCTCTGGGCACTGTATCTGATGGACTGCCACAGAATGTACTGTACATGGAGGTTGCCTATGTGGAACAAGTTAAAATCAGGATAGTGTAGTGAATATGGTTTTTAAATAATTGAAAGTAAAGGCTTCCTGGCAATAACAGAAAATATACTTGTAAAAAAGAGGATGGAGAAAAAAACGAAAGAAATGCTTTAAAGCACTGCCTATAGCGAAAATATTTACCTTTTTTTGTTTACAAAACCAGGAACCCAATTAATAGTATGTGAATTGGAAGCATTTGAACTGCAGATGATGAGGAATAAATGGTACAAATGTTTACGCTATTATCACCATAACCATAGCTCAAAAAATAAATGACTTTCAGAAAAGGTGTACTTTTCAGTCTCATGCTTAATCTACTTATTAAAGTGGCAGCAATGCTTCTGGAGAGCAGATTTTCAAACATCACAACCAATTTTATTTCAATTTCATCTTACAAAAAAAGGAATTTAAATTTCTTAAATGACAAATGTAGTGTTGAAGGCCATTCACACATAAATTTTCCATAATCAATAAAAATATGAGGCATATGTAAGCCAGCCTCAAATGGAGCTGTTTTATTGTCATGTATATGTTGTGATGCTATTTTATAACTTTTAATTTATGACTATGTCACTTGTGTTTCAATCTCATGCATACAGGAGTTGTTGACCCAGTCGCAACCACTCGATCATGGAGTACATTGCAAATGAGAAGAAATTGCACCACTGCAACGTGCATTCAGTTCTAAGAAAAGTGTACCAAATTTTTACAAGTAATCCACACTATTAAATAACAGCCTTTGAGTCAGTGTTCAAAAGCAAGATTTTGAACTCAGACAGGCAAAGACTCAGTCAACAATACTATCCATGAGATTGATCATTTTGCCACTGATATTTCAAAATTTATGTCTCAGATGATTTGCCACATTAAGAGGAATGGAAATGTTTAATGGCCAATATATAGATCTTATGATAAAGTACAACTTTTAGTCCAACTTACTTAATTCAAACTATTTTTATAATTAAAAATTAGAAAAATATGACTTTTCATTTTATATGTAAAGACTTTAAAATGTGGATAAAAGTACGTTTTTATTAATTACTTGTTAGTTGTGGTAAACTAGTTATAATTTAAAGACTAGGAAAAATAAGATTGTTGCTTGAATCAAAGTTTTCGCCTTCTTGTTATTTCATAATGAACTTAAACCTACTCAAAATGAATGTTTATTTCACAACGGTGTGTGAAATTTAGAACTAAAAATGCTAAAATTTAGAACTAAGTCAAAGTTTATTTACCAATAGATAGATAGATTGATTGATTGATAGACTAGAAATAACACCAAAATATTGATGACATTATTTTAGTTTTCTTCTTTATACTTTTGTGTATTTCCTACACTTTTAGCACTAAAAATTCTTCACTTTTATAAACTTCAAAAGTTTTTTTAAAATACATTATGACTTTGTTTTGGAATAGCAACTTGAATTGAGATTTATTTTTGAGAGCACGCAGCTAGATGTTTTGTTCATAGGTGTTTCGAAGAAGTATGATTATTTAGCAGTCCCAAGTCTTTCTTGTGAGATTTGTAGCTTGTGGAACAGAACATATCTAAGGACATCTTGCCAAAGGAACAAAGAGTAAAGACATTCAGAGGAAGGCTCCTTTGAAAGGGCATAGAGAAGGTAAACTTGCACTTGGTTTCTTTTGTGTTCATGATAAGGAACTTGGTTCCTGCGGCCACTCTACCAACCATTTCCTTGTTAAGTATACGTGTTCAGCTTCAGCTTAAAGTTTGAATTTTCTTTTGATTTTGCAATGAAGAGGCTGCAATATTAATTACCAGAGAGTGTCTTAAGCCAGAAGCATTCATCATATTTTTTTCAAACGAGAGAAGTATAGTGTAGTCAAAAACAGGCTATATAGTTCAAGAGAGGTTGAATGCAGACAGACCTGAAATCCCAGCTCATCCATTTGCTAAGCATGAAATAATAAGTAAGCATCTTACCCTCTCAGAATTTTCTTACTCATAAAGTGGAGATAATAATATTTACCTCAAAAGTTATTGTTAGAATTAAATGAGTTAATATGAGAAAAGGGCTAAGCTGGCTCAGAAACAGTGCTCAATAAACAGGGTTTCTGTTGCCCATGTGAATCTATTGAATGAATTTCTAATATTCTGCAGCATACCTGTGCTCTAAAGCAACTGTTGAAGTTTCTCCCAAACTCAAAACTTAATTTATTCTAGACATATAAGCAATATGATAAAAAGCTTCCATTTATTGAATTAAAAATCCTACAGAATTGCTAATCTTCGGCTAACCATCACCCAAATCTCAGTACAGGGTTTTTTGCCAACTCACCATCATAAGAACCATGGGATGAAAGCACTCTGTGAGAAAAATAATGAACAAACCATTAGGTTTTCAATTAAATCACCAAATTTTAGAAAGGAAAAGCATGTAACATAAATGAAAATGACTTATAGCCAAGCTGGTCAATTCATCTTTAACTTGTCTAGGAAACATGGAGTTGAGCAGGTTACTATGAAATTGAACTATTAAAAATTTTGCAAGTATTATTTCAGTTTAATCCTGACAACCCGTGAGGTATGTATTATTACAATCCCCATTTTGCAGATGAGGAAATTAAGATTTAAGAAGTAACTGATGCAAACACTCACAAAATTGCTAAGTTGTGGAGCTGGGATCTTATTTATCATGCTGTACTGAATAACTAACACTCCAAATGATAAAATCTTGACTATGACCGTGATTATGCAGAAAACCAATGTAAAATAACAATATTAAGAAACTAAGGTAAGTACTCTCCAGAATTTCTTTTCTTTTTTTTTTTCTATTTTAGTTGAAGACTTCTTAGGGTCTCCTTAATTTTCAGTACCACCAAAAAAGAACTATCTTTACTTTAAGGATTAGCAGAAAATGGAAAGAATGTAATTAATAAAAGCAGGAAAAGAGAAAACAGGTTTTTTTTTCTTATTTTCTATTCAAAAGTTATTTAGCAAAATATGGATCTCTGATATGGATTTGATGTACTTTCTAATGCGTGACCCATACATGACCCTCTCTTAATTTAAACCAGCTAAATTCTATATTCATGAGTTGTTCAAAGGAATAGTTTTTCTCTACTTAAACTCTTTAATTCTTCTCTCTTTCCCCCAGATATACTGGGTTGGACCAATAATAGGAGCTGTCCTTGCTGGTGGACTTTATGAGTATGTCTTCTGTCCAGATGTTGAACTCAAACGTCGTTTTAAAGAAGCCTTCAGCAAAGCTGCCCAGCAAACAAAAGGGAGCTATATGGAGGTGGAGGACAACAGGAGTCAGGTAGAGACTGACGACTTGATTCTAAAACCTGGAGTGGTGCACGTGACTGACATTGACCGAGGTGAGGAGAAGAAGGGGAAAGACCCATCTGGAGAGGTGTTGTCTTCGGTATGACTAGAAGATAGCACTGAAAGCAGACAAGAACCCTTAGAACTATCCTCAGATTTCCTTCCACACATTAAGGAAACAGATTTGTTATAAATTAGACATGTGCAGTTTGTTGTTCCATGTCATATTACTCAGTCTAGATAATAAATATTTTATTATTTACCAAGGAGGTGTGGGAAAAAATTGTGAATTCAAAACCTAAAGGAGAAACATTTTAAAAGTCTCCCCCAAACAAATATATATCTAGTTTATCTGGTTGTCACCTGTTAAAAATCAATTTAAAATGTGTATCAAAATTTGGTTGTCTTGCCTGATAGAAAATATAGACAAACCTATCGGCTTATTCCTCCTCTACCATGGTATCATTAATTCTCATTTGAGTATTTATTACATTAAATCAGGTTTATTAGTGGCAGAATACAGTATGGCAGAGTCATGCATATTCAAGAGAGGAAATGTAACAAGCTCTTTTATGGGCAGTCCCTTACTTATAAACTACCTTGGCAAAAGAATAGTAACAAGGGCCATTGCTAATGAATTACTTCCATTTATATTTCAAATACCCAACTTGCAACCCAAACTCTAATTCATAATATTCCTTCCTCCTCGTCAATGCCCCAGGAAATATGGAATTAAATCCCAGATAATTGAAGAATGTCCAGAAACCCAGTATACTTATTAGTTCTATCTAATAAGACATCCAAATTACAAGGGACACCTATTCAGATTCAGGATAAACAGATTTGTAAGGTCTTATGGGGGTGGGGAAGAAATCACCATCATACAAAAAAATCATAAGGAAAATGGAAATCTGAATTCTGGTATCAAATAGTTTATCTGTTTTCAGTGCACATCCTCAAATATGCCACATGAGGTTAACAGTCTAAATTTTTAACCATTTAACCACTTTGCTTTTTTTTTCTTTTTAATTTATTGGCAAAACTGGGGGTTTTATTTGTTTGTAACTTTGGTTATCTATATTTAAACATTAGCTAAGACATATTTTTTATAACAAGAACATAACGAGATGAGTCTTGACTTTTTCGATTATTAAACTCTGTTTGTTCTAGAAGGTGTAAACTGCTCCTGCCCAGTTCCAATCTCTGATGTTCTCTCACTTCTCGTGAATTAGTTGATTATCTTCACTGCACATGTGATGATATTTTAATGAATTAAAATGTATGAGAGACAAGAAAGACATGGTGAGGATATCAGAACATTCTGTATCCAAAGCTAACTAGATGACCAATCTTTTATTTGTAAGGATATTGTACATAGCCCAACATATTTTTAAAAGATTTTCATTACTAAATCATTTATTTGTCAAAATAGTTTGTTTTTCCTGCACTGTTTTTGCTTTATGTCAATAGAATGGTCTCTGGAAACCCCAGTTTCTATCATCTCAGCCATCTAGTGTGACCTTTATCTAAGACAAAGGGCTACAAACATCAATTTCACTGAACAAAAGCTAGTAGTAAAGCGAAAACTTATCACTGCAAAGAGCGGCTTGTACATAGCTGATAATCAAGGGCTTTCTTCCCTCACGCACAGTTCCAACTGTGCACCACTTTTTAGTGTTAATGGCAGTCATGTGTCTGTGGCAGTGAGATAATGGACCACTATTAAACCTGATTCTCTTCGGTGCTAGGAAAGTGATGTGCAAGGTTCCCAGAGAGTCATCACACCAGTGTTGCGTCTGGGAGTGCCACTGGAATTTTTTTTTACAGCAGGTGCTGAAATCCCAGGCCCCTTTCTCAGGGGTGTGGCCAACCACACCCTATGCCAGTGATACACATTGCTTCCCCTTTGGGGGAGTATCTCTAGGAACTAGATTGCAATTCTAAGGATGGTTTATGCCTGTCATTTCAAATGTTTGCACAATATACCACTAAAGACAAAATTGATGGTGGTCCAGCTCAAAAGATGATGCTATCAACCATCAGCAAACATGACAGTTCAAAACTAAGTTAGGTTAACAAGGAAAAGTTAAGCAGATTTTCCCAGTATGCTTACAGTTTACTGGCTCATAATCATTTTTAGTCAGCCATGTGTTTTACTTCTTATAAATCATTTTTCCACTTACTTCCAGTTAGAACATTCAATAAGTTAGTGTTAAATTAAAAAAAGTATAAACGATGTTTTTGTACTTTGCTTTCCAGCAGCTAACAGAGTGTGCATGGCACTTAGTAGAGATTCAAAACAAATGTTAGTTAATAAAAAATACATACATTTTATTTGGAATTTAAGAATATGAATAATTTTTTTAGTCTTTATTTTGCTCAATGCTTAATAAAAGCATGATTTCAAAGACTACTAAAGGAAGGCACTATAAATGCAAAAAACATAAAATATGTTTTTGCATTCTACCAGTTTAGAGACAGGCAATAAATGAAAGCTTTAGTACTACTTTTTCCTGCATATAAGACAACATATTTTGTATTTCACTCAAGGCTCTGCCAGTAAAAAGTAATGAAATTGTACCTTTCTAATGACATCTTTGCAGCAGGGGTCTATTGCCTTGTGGATGGCACCAAATTATCCAAGTGTATTAGGAGACTAGGGCTTTTCCTTTAATCCCTTCTTATTAATGAAGTGCCTCGTGCTGCTCCCAGGAGAGTGCCACTGACAGATATATAGAAAAGAGATCAGAGAAAAAAAAAAGTGGAAGAATATAAATGAATTATACCCAGCCAGGAAACGATACTAACCATCTCTTCCCTAAGGAAAAGTACAACAAGCGCCCCAAAATTGTAAGGTGGTCTCTACCCTGAAAATGTATATAGTGTGTCAAAAGAGTTGAAAGGATAAGAATCATTTTTTGTTTTCAGGGATTTCTTAATAATTTGGTGCACAGAATTTGAATGAATGTTTTCACTGTTAAAGATGACATTTTCTTCAGTCCTAAACTTTTACCCAGGAAGGAAGTATTTTCTGGTACCTAAAGAGTTGCCTAAATTTAAGATTCCTACACTTTGTTTCTGCCATATAACACTTTTTATAACTTCTTACACTTTTTATCATCTGATCCCTTTCCTAATGCAGTTGATAGGTGCTAGCTAGAGTTGCCCCTCAGTCCTAAAGATTTTACAAGAAGATCAGAAACATTCGAATAACATAGATTAAGATGACTAATTAATTCTTAGAGATTTGATTCCAAATAACACAGAATCTTCTCGGGCTGTGAAACGAGGCAATACATTTGCTGGTTTAAACTCTAAAATGAACAGGAAAATTCCAAAATAGAGCAGCAAATTCAAATGCTAAAATTAATTCTGGCAAGGCCCTTTGTTGCAACATGTTGACATTATCCTTCGATGTTGTACATATTTGACAGAGAAATTGCCTTCATGATAACTGAAGATGACATTGGGAAATTAATGGACCACCCTGTAAAACAATATAAAGCCAATATAAATTCTCATCATAAGCACAATAGAATATGCAGATTTAGAGTATTTTATACCTGAAAGTAATTGTGTCTTTCACAATATGTTTATGGTATCAAAATTATTAAGACCTGGTTACTGTGGAAAGCATAACAAAACTCACATTTTTTACCACAAATTTTATGGTGTTGTAGAATTTTACAGGTTACCCGAAGACAGCAATAACTTTTGAAGCCCATAATTTTCTGAAATACATGGATGACGTTAATTTCGGGGCTCAAAAACTGTGGCTGCTCACTTTCACAAATGACTGTAGCTTATAAAATGCATATGAAATAAATGTTATACAACATGTGCAATGAACATTAAATTTGAGAGCAGTTATAGTGTTACCCACACATGTTGAAAATCCAGGAGCTAAAAAGTATACCTAATTTATATAACCCATTGGAATATATTTCTAAATTCTCTTTAGGATTAATTAAATAAGCAGGCAATTTATGAAAATATATAAATAAATTGTTTATCACTTTTATGACCCAAATCACAATGAAATTGTAATTCAAGATAAGCTGGTGAGAATAAACTGAACATATGGTTATATTCACAATTATTTATTAACTGAAATGTTGTTATTCCAAAGTTAGAGTTAATGTTAAGGAGATTTAAAATGTATTGTTTAATATTTGGAATAATCTATTAAACTATTAGCATTGTGGTTGATTTTCATGAATTAGTTTGTATCTCAGAATACTAAGCTTGTGCAAATAAACGTTTTAATGTTTTAAAAGGTAAGCATTGTGTTTCATGATGTTCGAAAATTCATTCATAGTTTTTGCAGGTTAGATCTTAGGAGCATCCTTTAGAATGACCAGAAGGTTTAGATATTTGAGAATAATCAACACCAAATGAAATCGTGGTAGAATCCAGATAATAAAATGTATTTTTTCAGGCCTGCAGAGAGAGTATACCCTGTGGCAGGCCCTGATGTAAATAGTGAAAGTTGAGTTTTCATGGGCTTAATTCTAAATGTCCACATCTATGCAAAATAGGCCATTGAATGTCAGCTATCTTTACAGTAAGTCTAAAAATGAAGTCTTAAACAACTGACTCACATGAGGCCGGCATTGCCAAATAGATGAGCTACCCTTAGGGCATTTGGAACATTTTGCCTATGCATATGGATAATACAGGTACAATGAGTACTGGTTTACTCCCTTGATTCTTGGTTTAAGGGGCTTCTCAATTTTGAGAGATTATAGACCCTGAGGAAGGATCATTTATATAGCGCACATCCCATCCGATGAGTAGTAAATGATGCCTTAGGAGCCGGTGGATATGAACCTTTTTTATAGCATTTGTCACATTGTAGTGAAATCATTTGTGTAAGTCTGTCTTTTCTACTAGGTTCTAAATTTCTTAAGGGCTAAGACTTTGTCTTATTTATTCTGTATTCCCCACCTTCAGCATGGAGCATTAAGCTTGACATTTCACTCAATAAATGCTTGTTGCACGAATGAATAAAGAACGTAAGGAATACCTTACAATCAGTAGGAAATGCCACAAAGCACTATACCTCAATCTAGTTGTGTTTTGCTGTTATATAGGTGTGTGCAAAATATTTGAATTCATATAATTTCAGTTAGGGGGCTGAAATTAGCTCAAAACCCTAAAGAAAAGGAAAAAGAAAAATACACAGAAAGAAACACTAATTGGATTTTGAAAATTTATACCTAATGTGCAGGCAACAAGACATGTTTTCATTGCTATATTTATACAAT